AATAAACCCCAAAAACTAAAGTATTAGTTTGCTTGTCATCAAATCATTGATTTGATCAGCATAAATATTTGTGGATCTATTCCCTCTTGTTTTGGTACTTGCAGACTAAATTTTATGTTACTATTTCATTAATTTTATTCAATAATGCAATAAAAATTAAATTTAATTAAATATTAAAAGCGCTTAAAATTTTCATATTTTCATATTTTAATTTTTTTTTGTATCTTTATTTCGCTTGCTTGCTCCTATGTTTATTTGGATATATATGAATGTATATACGTATGCTATTTTTAACTACTTTGTAAGTCATTGACGGCACATTAAAAAGTTGAAAGCATCTATTTTAAAAATTATTTCACACATTATTTGTAGATATTTGCTTCTAATTATACTCGATGCTGTTATGTACATACATATGTAGGTTGGAAATAAATATCATACATTTGTAAATAACTACAAACAGCACTTGTTGTAAATATGTAATGATATTATTTTTTTGAGTTTTTGCAAACACAATAATCATATTTTATATTTAAATACCGAACCCAAGCAATTTATTATTTTACGCCTTTGCCATACAACACTTCTCTTCCTCGTATACTTGCTCACTAAAGCCGCCTACGTAGCATACACACACATACACGTACTCGTTTGTATAGATATCGCAATAACGGTGCCAATAGCATATAAATTATTTTTAGTACTTCGAATACTTAATTAATCAACACATTCTGGTGACATTTTAATTTGTTTCATGTCATTTGGCTTTAAAATTTTGAATTTTATAATATTTTCAAATTTTCGCATAAAATGCAGTGAATATTACACTAATAAAGTTCGGTAAAAAAGACAAAAACAAACTAAAAATCACTCATAGTTGATTTAACTACTATATATTTATTATATAATATATAAAGAAACTAGTAGAAACTGTCGTTGTTGAAATTTATTTATTTATTTGAAGAGCTAATATTGCAATAAAAAATTATAATTTAGCTAAGTAGCCATAGCAACAATAGGCCTTAGGCTGAGTAAGATAAAAAATAAAATTTATATACAAATCTTAAAACTAACAGTTATCTTTACAAGATTTCATTTATTTATGATTAGGAAATTTGCGCAAATTTCAATTCCTCATAATTCTAAATAAACAAAAATCGAAATTAAATAGAGGGAGACTAAACCAAAGGTTAAATATTATAATAAATTTTACTTAGCTTAAGGAATATAATAATAAATTCAACATTTTCGTTACTATCGTAGATTCAGATAGTAGTTTTAATGGATTTTTGTTATTAAAAATTTTGTTTCTAATATAAGAAAAATTATGACAATTAAGAAGTAAATGTTTAACTGAGGCTACATGAGAATAATTACAAAAGCTGCAAAATTTTGAAAAAGAGCTTTACAACAAATGTTGATGGGTCAATTTAGTATGCCCAAGTTTTAAACGTGAAAATTTCACATAATCTATTCTTTTAACAAAACCATTTTGATTAAATTTACATTTTTGATACCATGTGGACGTTTTCCTAAAAATACTCATATATTTAATTACTATCACAGCAAGTCTTTATAAATTTAGTAAAGTCCTTAATATTATAATTATTATACAATATGCTGTTAGAAGTGGCGACCTGTGTGCTCATTGTAGCAATCGGATTTCAAGTGTCACTTAATCTTCAGACTATTACTATTTTTGTTTTCAAATCTTTTTTCATTGGATTTATCTTCATAATAATATAAATATTAGTTTTCTCCGCGCTCGACGACAACGGTCACCATATATTCATAGTTTAGTATATAAAAATGCATAATATATTTGCGCCTGAGTGAATTTTTTCCTACTACAGTAGATATAGTCAGAGACAAGTTCCCTTCGCCACAAACTCAAAGATGGATTCCTAGATGGAAATCCAAACCAGTGACGTTAAAAAATTTCGCTTTTGCTCTATTTATGATTATTGCAAAGGCAAAGAGTTACTCAAATATTCTCCTGCCTTTCTGGCAATTCGTGAACAAATATTATACTTGCAGAGAAGCAAATGAGTTTTTCCTTGTGGCAGTTAGACTGGCTATTTCTCTTTAGTGTAAGTATAAAGGGTTACCCGAAACTTCCTGGATATTTACATATATAATTGGCGCTTTGTAAACGCTGAAGCGATTTTCGGCTGAGCTCCTCTTCCAATTTGTGGTATTGCGTCTTTAAATTTTTCCAACAAATGGAGTTATGTAGAGTTTATACTTGACCGCCTTCGAACGGCTGATGGTCTTTTTTACGAGAAGCCGAAATAGACGCGGAGGGGTGGACATTTCCGACGACCGCAATTTGAATGTAAAGGTACCAAATTTCTATTAGACCCATTACAACGATAAATACGATATTTTTTTGAGTAAAAGATCGATTTCTGTTCCGCTTACCAGTTATGTGCGTGATAATATATGCAAAAAACTACTATATGCTTGAGGCTGGTAAGCTCTTCGAACCACAAATTATATTTTTTTGGATAGATCGGATCACTTCTCTGAAGAAAACCTAGTATATATCTCAATACATGCATAAATGTAACCGCGTATGACATTTCAAGCAAAATCAATTCAAGGAAAAGAGTGGACCTTGCCTTTAAACTCGAAGAAAGTGCCTTTGTGGCAACCTTCGAATTGCCTTAATTTGACTATGAATCGTCTTACAAACGAACAGCAAATTGCAAAATTGCAAATTATTGAATTTTAATATCAAAAAGCGTGCTCTGTAAAGAAAGTTCATCGCGCGCTTCTTCCATTTTATGATCATTTAAATCAACCCACTGAAGCGGCTATTCGGGCTATTGCGACTTGATTTCGCATCAAATTTACATTGTTGGATATTAAGCCATAAACACGCTTACGTACAGCGCGAACTAAAGAAAATATCGCAGCTGAATCGGACAGTGTTAACGATGACCATCAATTATCGATTCGTCGCCGTTCGCAGCAATTGGACCTCTGTTACTCAACAACGTGGAAAATAAACTACAGATGTTGCAAGAATTGCTGCCGTACGACCTACCGCAACGCAGAATTTTTGTTGAATGGGCTCTTGGAAACTTGACCGAAAATCCACTTTTTTATCGAAAAATTGTGTTCAGCGACGGCGATCATTTGTGGCTTAATAAATGTGTAAGTAAGGATAATTGTCGATTTTAGAGTAAGGATCAGCCAAAGGCATTGCAAGAGCTACCAATGCATCCAGAAAAATTTACAGTTTGTTGCCATTTATGGGCAGGTGGCATCATTGGGTGGTATTTCTTCAAAGAGTTTGAGAATCGTAACGTAAATGTGAATGGTAAGCGCTACCGATGATATCAAACTTTTTTTGCCCAAAATGCAAGAGCTTGACTTGCATGACATGTGGTTTCAACAAGATAGTCCCACATGCCGCACGGCACGCTTAACAATGGACTTATGAAGAGGCGAATTTGGTGAACATTTTACTTCACGGTCAATTGGCCGCCTAGATTGTGCGTTTTAATGACTTTAGTCTATTGTTTGTGGGGCCATGTTCAATCTAATGTCTACACAGACAAGCATTGGAGGACAACATTGAAGCTTTTTTATTCGGGTTTCAAATAAAGATTTCAAGTATTTTTTTCAATTTAATGTGTTTTTTTTTTATTGAAAAACTTTCCTATGCCTCGTAAAAAATCAGTCTCTATAACAAGTAGAGCCGCTTTGTTGAAACAGAAGGTCGTCCATGTCAACGTCCTTCAATTCAGGTAGAAAAAAATCATTAATCTTGACCTTGTAGCATTCCTCATGGGATGTAACATCATGGCCGGCTGTATTTTTGAAGAAATATGTAACAAAAATTATCTCTGGCCATAGATCACACCAAGCAGGGACTTATTATAAAAATTTTCAGCTTTATTAAAAGAATTAATAAATGTAATTAGAAATGAAAGTATAAAAAACTTAACTAAACTGCAAAATCTGGTATCTTACTAAGTCGAGACTCTCTGCGCTTTACAAATATTTTTCAGTTCAATGATCCTAAAATCCAGTAAGATATTTCTTAAGGGGCACACCTAGTGTAATGGCCTAAAAAAGGTGATTTTTTGGAATTCTTATTAAAAAAAAAATACTTATCAATTATTTCAAAATTTTAGGAATATATTTATACATGTTTCAAGAGTATACAGTGAAATTTTTGAAGAAGAAAATTAAATATTTTTTAAGTCATAGTCGGTCTCCAACGGCGCGAAAAAAGGTCCTTCACTGCTGCAGTGACTCCGGCCTTCTCCGTGGATGAAATCAAAAAAAAAATTTCTACTAGATAATATTGTCTTTACAAGGACCTACGATAAAAAAAATCAAAAATTTACATTTTTACCCAAAATTTTGGTCGTTTTTGGACTGTCAACATTCGATTTTTTGATCAGATCAAAAATCGATAGATCATTGTACGGAGAACTATATATAGCACATGTAAAAAAAATTCGAAAGTGAACGGATCATTTGTTTTTGAGTAATCACTGCAGCAAATTCAGAAAATGCTGTTTCAAGAAAAACGCGTTTGAAGATAAAATGATCGTTTTCACTCGTAGCTAATGAGACTCTCTAGCTGCCGAGCGGCTGCTCTTTAAATTGCTATAATTCAAAAACTATTTGAGATATCAATTTGAAATTTTAATATGTTATTTTTAAAGATGCAATCTACCGAAATATGAAAAAGATCGATTTTTTTGAAATTTCACACTAGGTGTGCTCTTAAGCTGATTTAAAAATATTTAAAATACTTTTTTTTACTAAAATTCTAACTTAATAACTTAAAGAATATGCTTAAAATGCTTTAATAAAAAATAAAGAAAAATAAATTAATAAAAAAAGTAAACGTAATTTGCTTTTTCATACAAAAAATTTTACGTAGTTTATATTATTCTACAATTTTTAGTACTATTTTATATGAGATAGAAATGCTATTAACGTGATTTAAAAATTGTTGGTGTTTTTTTTTATTCTAGCTGGAATTTCGGAATATTTGTGTGCGATTTGTGGAACAGTCTGGATGTGTATTTTTCTACGGCAAGCATTTTGCATTTATGCTGCATATCCGTCGATAGGTAAGTACAATAGAAATCGTATTGTCACAATTACTTTGCTTTTTGAAAAGTACAGTTATGCCATAAATAAAATGCAAACTATAAGGAATTTAGTGTATGCATACATACAAATCACTACAATCGAAATTTAAGGGAATGTTAATGTATAGTTTTCCACTCTCCTAATAGTTTTCCTCTCAACATCATTAAAAAAAATAACATTAATAAATATACTTTTTGTAAATTCAAAATTTATATTTTTTTTTTTTGTAGTGATTTTCAGAAGAAATTCGTTTTCTCAGCTCATTAAAGTACCGATGCCCATCACTCATTGCGTGTTGGAGCACAGTGAAATGTAAATTATTGTGTGTGTGTGTGTGTATGTGTGTGTGTTGAGTATTGCTCATTAGGCAGTTGCAGTTCAATTGTTAAACTAGCAGCTGTTGTTGTTGTAGCAAAGATTATAGTTATCTACTGCCGCAACCACAAAGGCTCCTGGAGATTTGGGTTGCAATAGAATTTCATAATTAATTACTACAACTGTCATAACTACAATCAGACATATGTGTATGCATTTCGTTAGTACGTATGTACGAGAATGTAGGTTTGTACAAAGACGAGACAGGCAGACTTGGCAAGTGTTGATGGAACACAAGAGTTCAGCAACAAATGAAATGGACAGAGAAATTACTCTCTCACTTAATGGTAGAGCTGAAAATGTACACAAACAAATGATTGTACATGTACGAGGGGCTTAACAAAAGCTCGGTAAGTTGACCAGAAAATAAATCCTTTTGGTGTTTATTCATAATCTTTGTCTTTTAAATCTTCTCTACATAATCGCCATTGATTTCGTTGGATTTCTTAAGCCTATAAATCCACTTCCAAGATCAGTGTTCAAAATCTAGCTTTATGAGCTTATCAAGGTCAGCATAAACCACATTGAAGACCATTACCTTAACCTTTCTTTAAATTTTTGGAAATAACCAGAAATAACAACGTATTGTATCCGTGGCATATGGTGCTGAACATATTTCTTCGATCCCAGAGATAGCAATAAAATTATTCGTTATTTCAGCAGTGTCCATCCCACGCGTTGTCATGATGTAAAAAGTAGCTCCGCAAATTCTTTTTCTTCCAGTTTTCTAATAAATTTTTGAAAACTTTTGGTTATAACTCTTCAGTGTACCATTTTACAGTTACCGTCTGAAGTAAACTGACATCATTACTTTAGCTGCAGATTTTTGTTGCTTACATTTTACGGATGGGTTTCCTACTGTTTGACACCAGTAGCGACTTTACAAAAGTTGCTGGACTGACCATTTTCGAATTTGTTTAGGATAAATTGAGCGAAATGCACTCTCTTCTTAGCCTCTTTTTGGGTATCTTTTTGGGCCTCATTCAAAATTCGTAGTACCCATCGAGCAAGTTTCTTCGTGTATCCCAGGTGATAACTTATTATTCACGATGCAGCCATGGCATTTAAGCTCAATTCATTGGCAATCATTTCAGCTACAGTAGCGTCATCCGTGAAAGGTTTTGGCAGCACTTTTCGGGGCTAGTCCTCTACGGAAAAACATCCCATCTGGAACCTTCTGAAGCGGTTAGAAATAACATTCAAAATCGTTACATAAGCGACTTGGCAATCACTGAATATTTGTATTGGCTGCAAATTACGACAAAACCCGAAAATAATCACATGGCAAATTTATGTTCACGTTGGTGGTGGAATATCGTCTGACCTATTCCCAGCCATAATGCGTGCTCCCAACTACATTTTATCCGATCGTTCTAGAATTTGAATGGAGGACTAGCAAAATATTTACAACGGTTTTGGTATTTTTAGAATTATATATATTATTGGCGCTTGTAACCGCTGAAGCAGTTTTTCGGCCAGGATTTGTAGTTTTGCGACTTGATATTTTTCGAACAAATGAAGGGACCTACAGTTTATACTAAGCCACCTCCGAATGGCTTATGGTTTTTTCACGAGGTGCCTTTATTTCGTGACCGAAAAACACTGGGAGGGGTAGACATTTCCTGCAGAGGCGCGACCGCAATTTGAAAATTTAATTTAATTTTAGATTTATTGAACTTTCGCTAATCCCCTCGTATATGCCTGCATATATATCTATTCAATCAACAAGTATAGATTCATACAACAATGGATACTTCATATATTACCTATTGTGAGCTCTTAGCTGCACTGACAATGACATACATGTGACCCTAAGCATTTGCCTCTTCTTGATTTGCCTGCACACACACATACGTTTGACATTGATTGAATTTGCACACACTGGGAGGTGCATACGGTTTCAACACACAACGGGGCAATTATCGTGCTTGCTCAAACGAATCTTCCACACCTAATCTACCGTTATGCATTGGTTAAATGCTACTTGACTGTTTCGGACTTAATGCACCACGCACATCCTAACATACGCCAGTACAAGGAAATATTCAAATGTCTCATCTATATATATGTAAATTGCGTTCGGATGCTACAACAAAGACTCAACGCCTGAAATCATATTGCGACTTTTGATGGTAGAACATCATTTAAACTCGATTAGCCTACAATTAGTTGTCCTCTGAGGACGTAGCGGGTTTGTGCGTAGCACAATTGTTGGTAGAAAAGTAACCGTTCATTGTTCGGAACTTGAATTTTGCGTTTAAATTCTTGAGCGCTTCCCAGAAGAGCGTTGTTGAACAATTAAATTCGAAATTGCTGTAACTTTCATATTCATAAATATAAATACTCCATCAAAATTGGGTTAACCAGAGGTGCGGCTGGGAGCGGTCGTCGATCTTGTAGCAAGCGACTCGCTATACGAATCTTTAGAAACTTGAGACTTACTCGCCTAGCGAGGTTCTGCGCTAGGTTTGGGACCCGTCACGTAGAAACCAGCTCTAATAAAAAAAATCAATATCCGCCGGATGGATATCTCACCCTCTGATGATGACCTTCGCAAATGTTTTAGGGTTAACGATTTGAGGGCATGCATCCGGAAAGTCCCTTTAATTGGGAAGATGTCGCTTCCCTCACATCACCGCCGTCCATCAAGTGTGACGGGCAAGACAAGGACGGAAACGAGTAGGTCCGTGTGACTTTTAAAGGAGCGCAAAATTTAGTGGCAGATTTGTGGTGGGAGAGAGCCTTCGTCATAGAGTGCTACTTGAGTGTACTTTGCGGCAGTTTTCGCCAAGGCCTGGAAAACGGTTGTCTGTGGTACTAGATTCCAGCACAAGAAAGTTCACCAAGCTACTTGGTTGCCTTCAGATAGCAAAACTTTCAACTATATCGATCATGTTGTGGGAAACAGAAGATGTGTATTTAGTGTTTTAGATATACGTACTTTTCGAGGTCCTAACATGGACTCGTATCACTGTCTTGTCGCAGTGAAGATATGCACGCACCTCTGTGTATCAAAGAAAGCCCACCTACAAACACAAGGAAAGTTTTGTACTCGACTTGCACTCCTGCTCTCCGAGAGCACTGATCAGCAACTCGGCATATAGGAACTGTTGGACTGCTTCTCAAGCTCCTATGAAGAACTGCAAGCGAAACTATTGGATTTCGGAAAGGTCGAGTCGCAGTGGAAGTTACCTACCTCGCAACGTTGCGATCCGCATAGGATAGATACCGTCAGATGAGACTTCCTAATATCGCATATAAGCATCTATCGATTTCGGTAAATCAATCATTGACCACATGTTCACTACGTGCAAAAAAAATTATGAAAAAAATGGGGAAAGAGGATCGACACAAGCCAACTCTTCGCCGATTATAAGTCAGCCTTCGACAGCACAAATAGAAGCTGCCCCCTCGCTGCTGTATCTGAATTGGCTATCTAAGCTGACGTTAAGCAACACTTAAACCTCCGTCAGAATCGGGAAGTACCTCTGCGATTCATTCGATACCAAACACAATTTCAGACAGGGAGGGTGTGCAACTATTGGCGTACGCCGATGATATTGATATCATAAGCCTCAATAACAACGCCGGGAGATCTGCTTACTACAGACGAATGGGTAGTTAACGAGGACAAGACGATATATCTCCTGTCATCAAACAAATAGCCATCGCATTCGCTACTCGGCTCCCACGACGCTGTTGACAGTACAAACTTTGAAGTCGTGGACAACACCAGCAACTAAGTCAGCCTTGAAATACAGGACAAAATCGCTCTTGCCAGCAGCTGCTACTTTAGACTGAGTAGATAACTGAAATGTAAAGTCCTCTCTCAACGAACGGTAGACAAGACTCCACAAGTAGCTTATCGTTCCCGTGCTGCTATATAGTGCCAAAGCATAGACGAAGATAACATCTCATGAGTCTTCATTAGGAGTTTTCGAGAGATTTTATGTTCCTCTATGAGTTGGTACTGGCGATCACCGCAGCCGATGTAACGATTGGCATAGTTCAGCGAATCTAAAAATCATTTAATGTAAGTTACTCAGACTAGGTCATGTGGTCCATGTTCAATGCAATACCCGCCGGTCCTCCACACCGTTGGAAAGTCAAGCAATGGCTATAATCGCCGAAGAAGAAGATGGAGAATAGGATAAAGGCTGAACTTCTGAATATAGTTGGCTTTAGGGCTAAGGAGTTGTAGGAAAAAAGGAATGGAGAATAAGTAAGTGAGTATGTATGTGCACGGTGTGCCCTAAAAATAACCGAGAATTATATTTAAATCATACAATATATAGCGCCATCTATTGAACATTAAAGAGATACATTCATCCTCTTCCAAATGCACCTAACATCATGTAAGTCGGATGACAGATGTAAAAGTGACAGTCATTTCAATAAAACCAAAAGTGTGCTAATGGTTCAAAAATAAAACTTGAAAAAAAAGTTAATGAAAAAAGTTTCTTGTGATGATTGTATGAGTCGTACACAAGTTTATACGTGGTTTACACGATTTAAAAATGGTCGAGAGGATTTAAATGACGAGCCTAGAGCACGACGTCCAGAAACTAGTAATCGTGCTGAACTGATGGAAAAGGTCCGTGAAATCATTGGTATTGATGCAAATTTTACTACGAGAATGTTGGCTGAGGAACTGAATACGAGTAAAAACACTATTTGGAGACTTTTAACTAACGATTTGGGGAAAAGAAAGGTCTGTGCGCGATTTGTTCCACATGAATTAAATAACGACCAAAAAATCGCTCTTATTTTTAATGAAAAAAGGGATTTCTCTCATCGACCATCCTCCGTATTCGTCTGATCTATCACCATGTGACTAGTTTTTATTTCCAAAACTGAAAACCAAGATGAAGGGAGCATTTTATGATGAGGTACTGAAGAAATAGAACCTATGTTGAATAAATAATAATTTTCTAAGATAATATAATGTGTATTTCATTTTATATCCAAAAATTTCGGTTATTTTTGGGACACACCGTGTATACTAACGAATTTTGAAATTCAAAGGCGAACAGTAAATACAAAGATACAAGCTTTTATTTTAATCTATTTGAATTTACTTTGCTTTATTTCGATAGGTTTATTTCACTTTTTATTTAAAAAATGTTTAATTAATTTAATATTGTTAATATTTAATTTCCTTTTTATTTATATGGTTATTTACTTATTTCTTTGATTTTATTTTATTGCTTTTTTTTAATTTTTTCATTATTTTTTTATTTTATTCCATTTAGGAAGTAAGTAATAGAAGTTTTTTAAGTTGCTAAATTATTTTTATTTAACGTTAAGCGAACATTTTGCAAGAAACCGTCATTTAATGTAAGTCAGAAAATACGAAAAATGTTTCAACTTAGTCAACTGCTGTTGTTTCCTCATCTTTAGTTAGATACATATATTTTTCGTTTACAATTCCTCATCACAAGCAAGGCAATTGACCACAATATTAAAATAAACGCAAGCGGTTGCCATATGTCAAATGAAATATGAGTCGCTTCACAATTTACTCATTCATCAAATTGCAATTTCACTCGTCAGACAAGTGCCAAAAAAAAAACTTTAGTTTTATTATCAGCATATGTATATATGTACATATCTAGTACTTACTATGTGCACATAAACTTACGCATATTTAAGTGTAAAAGAGTGTAAGTCAACAAAATCAAATTTCAGAAATTTGTTTGTATTTGTATATATATATATATTAGTATGTTTGTATGTATGTATAGACGCATACTTAAATATCCAGCTGTGCTCAGTCAGTAAATGACATGAAGATTTCCTAGGCAAAATTGAAATATTCAAATATTGTGTGCACCATTGAAGTGAGGAAGTGTATGTCAACTCAAAATGACAAAAATATAACCAAATACAGCTGTGGTGCTGGTAACATATGTCACGTGTTCATACACGTCTACACCACGCAGAATTATATATATGTTTGTATTTTCTTGAGTTTATGATTTCAATTTCTTCTTCTTTCCGTTTTTCGCTTTTTTTTAGTGCGATGTGTATTGCAATCAGTCTGACTGCAGTGGAATATGATTTCGCACATGTATTTATATATATTTTTTAAAGAAAATTATTTGCAACGGATACTCGCATTTTTATTGGTAGCGCTTAGACGAGAGTCACGAAAGACAGTTATAAGTTTCACCATAACAAAAGAGAGCATGAATCACGAATATAGCATATATTTTTAATTTTAGTATTTTATAAAAAAAATATATCCCATTGAGAATATAAAGTTGGTATTCGAATCTACGTTCAAAAAAATGTCTTTCTAAAAATTTATTTTTCATTGTAATTTCTATAACGTCTATGTACTTTTTTTATATCTATGGAGTGATCCAGTCCAATGCAGGTATTTGGTAGTTACGACAGTGCGTATACGTAACCTTTTTAATTCAGCCTGCAACTTTTTTGCTAAGTTTTAGTCGTGAATAATATTGAACGGAGTACTTTCGAAAAGTGGAAAGTATAACTATCAGCACAAAGGAGGTGTTATTTTCAAAAGTCTGCTATTCCGGTAGATGTCCTGTTTGAAGCTGTATTGTTTCGACATATGACAAGAAAAAACTATGCCAGTAATAAAAATCGAACGGTACAAGATTCAACAAGGTACTTAAATTATTCAAATTCACTAAAAAAATGGTAAAAACCAGGCAAATATGATTCGTAATACTAAAGCATTTTTCGGTCGTTAAACAGTAGTACAGAAATTGGGGAAAACAATAAAGCTGTTGGGACAAATAAGTGATGTGAAGTATAAAACACGTACACGTCGTTGAAGAAGAACTGAGGATATTGCTGCTGCAACCCAAGGTGTTGGAAAAAACCCCGGTTTGTCCATTCTTCGTCGTTTTCAAGAATTTGGCTTTCCTCAAACATCATTACACTGTTATTTCCATAAAGGCTTGGGTCTTGAGCCTTATAAAGTTCAATTAACTCAAAAACTCAAAACGGCAGTTCACCAGCAAACTTGTGTTCTTGCTCATTGTGTCCCTAAAATGCATGAAAAATTGATTTGAAGCCTCATTGAAAAGTCGACTTAAATGATAAGGCGCATTTCCACCTCGATGGCTACGTCAATAAGTAAAACTGTCAAATATGAGGCTCCTTAAACCGAAGACGTATTGTAAAAACACCTCTCCATTCTCAACGTATAACTATTTGGAGCGATTTATGGCACGGCGGGAGAACCGATGAAGCCTTTTCGGCCGAGTTCAGTGGCAGCATGTCATGCTAACCACCCGGCTATAGCGACTGTGACCTTGTTTTTTTAAATTAGCATGGAGAAATAGTTGCGGCGGTTGAAATGCGCTATCGAGGAGTAACTGATTTTTATATTTAGACGAGAATATTGATCTGGACAACATTTCCTTTTAGCAAATGGAAAAATTTCCGGACCGTATTATTTCTCGGAGTGGTATTCTCAAACACCTTTTTCTCTCAGAACACGTGAAGAATAAAGTCTACATCAACAGGATAATGTCAATTCAATACCTCAATGATGGAATTTATTAAGCTATTGAGGGCACAAAGCAGCCACTATGCGCTTTGAAGATGGATTTGGTGCTGTAGGCGTAGCCGTGGCGGCCTTTTTGCCGATTTTTTTTTCCACTATCAATGGCTTATCTTCCTTCGATCATTTATCTCAAAAATTTCTTTTATTTTTATTTTTTTTTTTAATACCAAAATAGCAACTCTTAGTTGAAAACTCTGTATTTAACTACCAAAGAAAGTTAACAAAATCGTTTGTTTCATTTTTCTTTTTTTATGTTTCCAAGCCATAAACCATGAATTTGGCAGCCGAAACAATGAGAACACAATTCAAAATAACAAAAATAATAAAGTGCAGCAGGACAAAATGCGAATTTAGTCCACTCTCTCTCTCTCCTAAGTCAATACATATATACATAAACGTTAGCTACAAAAAATGCAATAAAGTATAAAAATATGCAATTGCTCAAGGCCAAAGTTGTTTTCAAGTATTTGCTGTGATTAAAAAGAATATATTTTCAAATCAATATGAGAAAACAATTTCTTGCAGTTACACTTATTTCAAGCTCATCCGTTTACTTCGCTACTTTTAACATCAACCCGAGCTCTCTTATTATATTTTGTTATCATTTTCCTTTCTCTGTCTCTCTGTCATTCTTTGCAGATACTATGCGATTGTGAAACCACTCAAATATCCCATAAATATGACAAAACGTGTTGTGTTCATAATGCTTCTGAATACTTGGGTATCACCAGCACTGCTCTCCTTCCTGCCCATCTTTATCGGTTGGTATACGACGGAGGAGCATAAGAATTACGTGAAACGGCATCCGGATCGTTGTGAATTTATTGTAAATAAACCATATTGTGTTATCTCAAGCTCGATTTCCTTCTGGATACCCTGCACGATTATGATTTTTACCTATTTGGCAATATTTCGTGAGGCAAATCGTCAAGAGAAGCAAATGATGGCGCGGCAGGGTAATGCAATGTTGATGCATCGACATTCGGAGGATGCGCGCGCTGTGAGCGGTGTGAGCAATAATACAGGTGAGGAGAGATATTTATAAAATATATATGTTAGGCTTACTTAAGACTTAACAATTAATGGTAATCAGGTGAGTAATGAAAAATTCAAAATGGCTAAAGACTAATCGCAAATTATAGATTTTTTTGTTTGTTAGTGACAAATAACAAATGGCAAATGACAAATGGCAAATGACAAATGACAAATGACAAATGACAAATGACAAATGACAAATGACAAATGACAAATGACAAATGACAAATGACAAATGACAAATGACAAATGACACACAAGCTTCAGTTTCATTGACATAATGAAAATTTCATTGGCAGTGATTGTTATAATGACAATTATAATGATTGAATAAAGTAACAATTACAGCAAGAAACGAACAGCCATTGAGAAATGAAGTATGACATATGACAGATGTAAATTTGTAAGGAAGAGATATATAAAAAAAATTGATATATAACAGAGAATATAAAAAAATGACAATGAAAGACTTATCCACGCTAAAATCTTTATTTTGATTTTTAAAATTATTAGGAAAATGCAAGTTCAGTGACAACGGCAATTAGAGATACCTCGTGTTTGGATAAAAATAGCTTCTTTCTTTGAGATTGGTCGGATCTCTTACATTAAGATCTTCTTGAATATCATAGTACATACCTGAAGCCATTTGCCTTCATATATTATATATAACAGGCATACCACAGAATGCATCCCAATGTTTCTCCAAACATTGGAGAGGCTTACAATTTATATTAAGTCACATTTGAAAGTCTGATGGTTCTTATGAGGAGATTATTTCATGTCACAAATACAAGGTGCAACCTCAATTATAAATATTAATTTTTCTATAACTTGATACATTTGGTCAGACCAAGAGTCGAACCCTGGTTTTACGAATTTCAGCCCCAATGCTTTACATATCAATTACTACTGTACCTTTTGTACTTTTTGGAAAACCAGATCTTTAATCTTAAATAAAAGCGGAATAATTAATCACCTTCATTACTTTCTTTATATAATAAAACTTATTTCCTGTATGCTTTATGAATGTACGTGTATGTACATACAAAATAACTGCACTTTTTTAGCTGCTTACAACAGTGGTCAGGTGAGTGAATGCCTACGCTGAATATTGGCCACATTTGCAAGTAACAAACGTTTAATGGACAAAGTTTTTTAGAGTTAAAAATATTTCGAGAAATATATTGCCGACAACAAACGATAAATATTACAAGCGATTAGCAACACAACGGTCTAAACAACAGCAGTGCAGTAAACCTTTATACATACATACATACATTAATAAAGTACTGCCATACACCTAAATGAGCAACTGTGCCGAATGCCACTTACCAAATGCCGTAAAATGTGACGTCTGCTGCAGGTTCTGAGTGGCGCAGCAAAAAGTTGCCGGCAAAAAACTTTCGCCAAATAACGGCTTAGCAGCCTAGAAAGGTAAACAACGCGTGCAAAATACCGAAGCAAAGAAGCAGAGGCGAAACAAACAAATAAACAAACATCACAACGGCGGCCAGCCAGGCAAATAGCGGTGGAAGAGGCTGAAAGTTAAGCTTCTGGTATTTAGGTGCTTTGGCCAAAAAATAGACCGAAAATTTTCCGAGTTGTATTTTTCCACCCACTTTCCACACCTGCCATTTATGCCACAACAATTGTGTGCGGCCCTCAAGCGGCGTTGTATTTTATGCTTTTCCCTACCAAATCGTTGGCTCACTCAAGTTTCGTACTGATAAATTTGCTGCAAATTATTATTATTGCGAGATTGCGAAGTTTTCCATCACAGCAACTTTGCTGGCTATGTATTGATAAAGTTTTTGGCCAAACATTTTCTATTTACAAAATTTTCCCATGCATTTTTATTATACTTTATGGTTTTTACTTTACTCTGGTTGATAGTTCAGTTGATGGCTTCCTTTTCATGTTAACCAATTTGCTTTGTCTATTTGCCGCAGGTGAAGCACTCAGCGGTTCCGGCTCATCGAAGACTTTGACGTTGCATGAAGTTGAGCAGGATCATACACCTACAAAGGATAAACATTTAATCAAAATGAAACGAGAACATAAGGCTGCAAGAACTTTGGGCATAATTATGGGTACATTCATTCTCTGTTGGCTGCCGTTCTTCCTTTGGTGAGTATGCACTCTGAATACATTCTTCAATGCCTTAGAATGCTTCCATTATAATTTTCAATTGAATTTCAACTTTATATAAAATATTAAATTTTTGTGGAATTTTTAATTTTTTTAATTTTAAACATAATTTTTTTTTGTTTTGAGTAAGAATTGTTCGCATCAAATATTGTTTTAACTTTATTTTTTTTACTTTAAATTATACTTTTCATATTAATTTTAATTTTTAATTGCCAATTGACAACATACACCGTCTCCTTCTTAGTCATTTAGAGACTTTCCTTGTACCGCTAATCGCTTTCTTCACCCAGACAGCCAGTTAAGCATTAATACAACCCGGTAATTGAAATTCTTTAAAATTAAAATTTCAATAATACTCAAGAAGCGCTCAAGAGGAACCAAAGTAACAGTTGCTCAGCACCGAGCGTTGTTAAATAAGTCTCAAGTAAGTGGGAGAGACAAGAAAGTAGAAAAGCTGCTGGCGTTTGTTAAGTCGATCAAAGGCAACACTTTTCTTTCTGTGCTGCTTGATTAAAAAGAATGCTGTGTAAGCAAGAATGCCAAAAATACTAAAGATACTAAAAATACTTGAGCAGTGAAAAAATATATTATGTATTGAAAATGTAGCAAGAAATGTTCCCGCTGCAATACGCTGAACTTTTTTTCCGTTTCAGTGAATAAAATTTCACTTTCGTGAATTTCAAGGATTAAGGCTACAAAAAAATAATTTAAAAATATATCCAAACTTCTAACTCTAATTCAAAGTTATATTAACATTCCGAAAGGGTAAAAAAAAGTAAAAAATACCGCTGCAGCAGATTGTGGCAAGCGATGAGAGATAAACAAAAAATATATGCATTTAAGCTAGAAATATTTTTTAATATTATTTTTTGTCAATTAAATTTCACCAAAGCCCCACTTTTTTCGTGAAAAATTATACTCAAACGTTTTCTTTTTTTCCACCCACTACTTTAGGTACACCATCACCAGCTTGTGTGATTTAACCGCACCCGACATTGTGGTCGCCATACTCTTCTGGATTGGCTACTTCAATTCAACGCTGAATCCGCTCATTTACGCTTATTTCAATCGCGAATTCCGTGAAGCTTTTCGCAACACCCTCCAATGTCTGTTCTGCAATTGGTGGCGAGATCGCGGCATGCCCTTGGACATCGACATACGACGATCCAGCTTACGCTATGATACGCGCGCCAAAAGCGTCTATTCCGAGAACTATTTGAGTGCCAGCCAGCCACCGCGGCGTACCAGCCAACTAGTCGATAGCTTATAATATAGCCGGGATGATTCGTTGTTGTCGGTGACACGAACAACGCCACAGCGATCCACCTCCATGCAACTGCTGCCAACGCAACAGAGTGAAACCACGTCAACGCTTCGTACTGCCACCGGCGTTGGCGGTTCGGGCATGCATCAGTTGGCGCCACTTCCTCTGCCCTCATACGTGGGCAAACGTTTGCTCGATATTAAGCCAAGTGCTGGTCAAGAGTTGAATGGTGCGGAATTGAAGGGTGGGCGGGGTGGTGGCGGTGATGGTAGGCATGCAAATGTGGGTGATGATGATGAGCCGCAACAGATTCAAATCGAAATACCGTTAGCGTATGTGAAGAAATGGAATAAAAGCAATAAAAATACGGCGACAACAGCAACAGCAACAGGAACAACAACAACAACAGGATGTACTACAGCGATAAGCACAACTGCAGCGACAACAACAGCAACAGGTGCGGCATTGGTCAATAGTACTGCCACCGTGACAACAGCAGCAACAACAACAACATCTAAAGCAGCATCACCAACCGCAACGACAACTATAACAACAACAGTAACAACGCCCAAGGGCACTGAACACACTCACGCACACACACACGTTTAGAAGGATTGCTAAAGCATGCTCTAGTCTACATACACAAATAAATCAACACATTGGAAATAAAGTTTGTAAAACAAAAATTGAGGAAACCAAACATAGTCATTAAGCAAAAGAGTGTTAAGTTTAGTAAAATAGGAGAACTAAACAAACGAAAAACTGACTAATACTAATAACTTAATATATGTATATATTAAATATTTATTTATACTATGTAAGTATATGTGTATATAAATCTCTTATGGCAATAAAAACAAAAGTAATTGCTTGATTTCAGAATCGATTAATCCAGCGTCTTCCGGGAAATGGAAACAATCTTATATTTTTCAGCTTCTGCGCAAAGGTTTGATTTATTTGTTTAAGAGTTTAGCAAAGCGAAAAAAATAAATAAAATTAAATATATGAAAAAAAATGGAATACTATAAAATAAGGCAAAAGAAAAAAATTAAATTAAATAAACTAAAAGCTAAAATAAAACAAATCAAAACATAACATAAAATATAATTAAATATATAATACTAAAATAAACTTAAAAAGTTAAAAAAAATATGTATATCAAATAACTGGAAAACATATCAAAATTGAAATCAAATTATATTAAAAAAATGAAACATAAAATAAATATTTATTTGAAAAGAAATAAAACTATATTACCTAAAATACGAAATATAAAACAAAACAAAATTAAAAATTAAATAGTTAAATTAAATAAAATAATACAAACTAAAAAAAATAAAACAAAATAAAGCTTAGTCAAAGGAAAAAAAATTAAATATAATAAAATAAAATAAAAAATGCAGAATAATATAAAATAAAATAAAATAAACAGAAACAATTATAAAAAATTTGTAAGAAAAAAATAAATACAAAAATTAAAACAATAAACGAAACTAGATAGTATAAATAAAAATACAATAAAAAAAGTAAAATAATATTAAATAAAACAAAATTAAATTAAATTAATTTTTATTTTAAATAAACTAAATTATAATTAATTAAATTGAATAAAAAAAAATAAAACAAAATAAATAAATTTAAATTAATGACAATTAAATTAAATTAAATAAAAAAATTAAAAATTAAATAATATTATATATAACAAAATAAAACAATATGAAGTAAAATAAAATAAAAGTCGTAAAATAAAATATAATTCAATTAAATGCAATAAAAATAAAATATTTAATAAATTAAAATAATATAATAAACAAGTAAAATAAAATAAAAGAGAAAAAAAATTAAATAGTTTAAAATAAAATAAAGCAAAACAACATTAAATAAAACCAAATAAAAAAAATGAAAAAAAAAAATAAATTAAAATAAATTAAATTAATTTAATTAAAATAAGTAATATAAATAACAAATAAAAATGAAATAAATTTATAAAAGTTAAATTAAATTAATTAAAATAAAATAAAATAAAAAAATCAATTGCAATAAAGAATAAAACAAATAAAATAAAAACATTATAAAATAAATCACTTAAAAAAAACAATTACGTAAAATATAAAATATTAAGTGAAAAGATGTGCACAAAATAATATAATTCAAGAAAAATCCAGTGAAATAAACTAAGATAAAAAAATTTATAAAATAAAATATAAATAAAAAATATATAAAAAAACTTAAACAAAGCCGAATAAAAAATGAATTAAATAATGTAAACTTAAATAAAATAAGTTAAATGATATAAAAACGAATCAAATAAAATAATAAAGAAAATAGTGAATAAAGGCTTAATAAAATAATCTAAATGAAAATAAAAGCAAATCAAATGAAGTGAAGTAAAATAAAATTTAAGGAAATAATACAAAACAAATAATTGGCGATCTCCGAAACAGCTGCTACTTCTACCATTTTTCTTTGTTTAATATCAAAAATTTTCAATCCATAAATATAACCAAATAAATATGCCTTTCGCTCACTAACTTATGACATACGAACATAGTACAGGCTGGAAAAACTATAATAACATAAAAGAGCAACAATTAAAGGTATACAAAATGATAATAAAATTGATAAAATAGCATAAAATTAAAAGAAAAAATAATATTTAATTAAATTAAACTAAATTAAAATAAATATAAAAACTGATTAAAAAAAATTTAAGTTAAAATAAATTGTATAAATAACATTTACACAAAATAAAAATTAAATCTCGGTAGCCTCAGCCTAGAATAAACTATTTTTTAAAGCGGTTACGACTTATAGTTATGGTAACTTTTCCAATTAGCTGAATAATTTTGTTTTTTCTGAAATGGATACCCTATGTTTCCTTCGTATATTTTATTGAATGACAATATTTTTTTTTATTCAGGCACTAAATAATTTTTGTGACCCCAAATGATTTAGATATAACTATGAATTTCAATTAAAATCCATTGATAAAAATCTCCTTGTATTTTGTGAATACTGTACATGCATTCAACGAAAATTTTTTATTTTTTTCTCCACTTGTCGTTGTGTAAATTATGCCACTTTCGAAGATTAATATGAGCATATAAAAGAAATGCATGCTAATTAAAATGGTATTTAAAAAATAAACAATTTTCTTAAAAGTCTAACATTTCTGAAAGTTTAAAAAACATTTATTTTAGTGCTTTATTAATTGGTATTTTTTTTTTTTAAATAAAAATAAAATTTAATCTAATTGCCGAAATTTGAGATCTTAGTATGATACCTAGCTCCATCCAAATTGCCTTCGTTTAAATGGAAGTAAATATATTTTATTTTGTCTCCATCTCTACTAAAGTATTTAGAATTTTTGCTAAAATTTTACGAATTGTATGCTTTTATGAATACTTTTACTTTATTTCATTTTTCAGCAGTTTAAATGCATTACTTTGCTCAATTGCTACACATTACCTCTTTGCATACTTTTAGGCATGAACTCATAGTTTCATGCACAAAGTTATTAGTGGATAGCGCCTACATATTTATTCATGGAATTTCCTTATTTTAGCTAATCAGCTAGACCTTATTTTAGCAATTCTTTATTACTATTTTATGTTTCTCGGAAACTTACTTCGAATGTATGTCATGTATGAAGTGAATTTAAAATACTTATATTATTCAAAATATGAAAAAATTTCTAAAAAAAAATTTTTTTGAACATATTAATGTTCCACAAAAAGTTTATTCCTTTATTGAAAAAGCATTATTATTTTTTGTGTTTTGAAAAATTTTTATTTCTGTTTTATAATCTTTTTATTTGTGATTGAAAATTTTACGAATACTACAAGATTTTTAGATTTAAACGAGAGCGATTTAAGGACAAGTTGGCAAGTATTTTTTATCTACTTTTCTTAAAGATTTTACATTTTCTAACTTTATGTTATTTCAGTTTTAAATGTAAAAAACACTCCCAACTTACATGGTTTGTACATTTTATTAAATATTTAAACATTTTTAATATCTTTGCTGTTCTTTTTGAAAAGGTATGGAGAGCTAAAGCTCTATATTTGTTAATTTATTTTGTTAATTACTTATTTTAAACTATAAATTATTTTATTGGTAAATTAATTAACTCCTTTGGTATATATTTTTGCCTGATTTATATGTTTAATTATTTTTTCTTTGCTTAAGTAAATATGAAAAATTTAGCATTAACAGTTTAGTTTTAGTTGATTTTATTAATAACACTTTAGAAACTAATTAAATTGTCATCTCTTTTACCACAAAAGCTCATGGGCTCTTTCAATGGTGGGAAGCTCCAAATTTTCTTGCATATTCCTAAAAATTACAATTAACTCATTACCGACTATTTGAATTATAAAAATATAGATAATATGTAGATAAAAGCATGGTTTTAAAAAATTAATTTACACAAAATTATTACGTGTTGATAATAAATTATAGTTTTTATCTGAAAGGTATACCACCAAAAAATTAAGTTAGCTATTAGTTTATATGCTTTTGTTAATTAAATTATTTTTTTCCAATTAATATGTATGTTTTTAATTTCTAACGCTGTCCAGCATTATACCGAGCCATTACTGGCAATAAGTTGCCTTTGCATAATCCACCAATGGGATATAATGCATGCATGTGTATAAAAGTGTGCTATTAACTTTTTATTATTATAATATTTCTTTCTTTTTTTTTCAAAGTTTTAATTAATTAGTAAATGTGCACCTGAACTAGCAGCAATCGAAGCATCTGTGCCAAACAGCTGCCGCATTTGTGTGTCATTTTAATCAGGCGCAAATGCAACTTTTTTCCAACGGAAATTCTCATTTAAGCTGTGCAGCAGCAGCAGCATGTTATAATGTAATCATATGCAAAAAAGAAGTTGACAAAAAAATTGTATTTACTTTTTTTCATATTCCATTATATTGAGTCGCATTTCATTTGAGGGAATTAAAAATTAAAAAAAAAAAACTTTAATCACTTTCAATTAATTTAACAAGCGACGCGTGTAAATATGTATAAAAATGCAAGCCGCTCTCATGCTCTCTTTTTCACTCACTCACATTGTTCTCTTTGTGTTTTTATTTTTTTCTTTTTTTCGATTTTTTGCATTACAGTATTTTAATTATTTGCACGCTGTTACTTTAATTACTTTACAATTGCTTTTAAAGCTAAAAAGTAGTAAATATTCGCTCGTTGAAAGAGGATTTTAATTTATTAATATTTCTTTTTTTCATTCAATGCCTGAGAAAACAACAAAAGCAATATCAACAAGCGGACAATTCACAAATAAACAATTTCATTTAATGAGAAGTTACTCACATACATCAATGCTTGTCAATATGTTTACGAGTATAAGTGAAAAATGCTCCATAAATGTATGTGCATACCATAAATAGCAAACAATGTTAATTAGCTAATTAAAAAAGACATTTGCATACATATATATATATATATATCTATATATGTATATTTATCAGTGCAAAAGAGAGTAACTATTTAAATTACATTTGCAAACCTGTGCAAGCGAATGGGCAAGCCAAACATACACACGTACGTATGCACAGATATGTGAGCGATGCATAATTGCCTGTATACTTATTTAGTGCTAATAAATATTTAAAAAAAAGAATTGTAAATGCAATTTAAACAATTTTGCCAAGCCATACACTTAGTAAGTATATTTTTTGGAAATCATACAAAAGCTGAACTAAAAATTTATTGTTTCTATTGCCCCAAACGCCGTTAAATATACGAAATAGTAAATAGTTAAACTTAAAAAAAAATTAATAAAATTTGGAAAAAACCGAAAATAAAAAAACTGAATTAAAGCAATATTTAATCGAATTGTATGTAACGAAATAAGATAATATATTCAAATATAAAAACAAA